TGCGTTCCCTTAGTGAGCTACGGACAATCTCTTTGACGCGTATACGCTGCATCCGGTTTCTGAGCAGAAGAATGAGTCGAATGTGGAAGTATTTAATCGACTAAACGTTTTTGCTGGACGGACTTTTACCACATCCTCGTTTCTCTTTGACAACGTCGGTTGGATTAACCTGATATCAGAGACGTGAATATTCACGTTTGAAACATGAGAGCATATTTGAGCAATATCTTTACTAGACTCTATTGGGATTCATAGGACAAGAATTTTAATAATTAAATAAAGATGGCGAAATTTCGATTCATTCGTTAATAAATGATTTTTCAAAAGGGCCTTTAGGATTTTGTTTTCTAATAAAATTCAAATGTTATGAAATCTATTTGATTTTCATGCAAATGTTGATAACGATTTTTAGACGATTAAAATCGAGAAATGATTTTATTTAAGTGTCCACTATCATTACACTAACAGCAATTTTGTTATTAAAAGACAAAATTCTAAAGCTTCGTTTAGAATACCTTTTATAATTAACTGAAGAATTATGCTATATTTAAATTTAATATTTAATTTAATGTTTATCTTAATATTAATTCAATTAATAACATTTTTTTATATACCGGAAAGCTACACCAGTATCAACGAAGAAGTCCTAATTATTTAAATAATTATTTACCGAAGAAACAGTACGATTAATTGAATCACAAGTCGCATACTTACTTTTAGACGTAAGATAATGAAAAATTGGATTTCTCCTAAAGTGTCCAGACGTAAAAATGATCGAGGCTCGAAAAGACATGATAGATCAATTTCTATTCGTGTACTATTGTATGAAGACTCTTTTTAACGATTCTGGACTCCTCGATGCCAACAATTTCGTTTAGAAGTAAGAGCTAAACAGAGTTTGCTTTAAACACAAGTGCTTAACTTTCACATCGTTAGTAGCAATTCTCCACAACTTCTAACATCTCTTCCGGATTTTAGAGAAAAAAATATGTCAAACGTGGAAGCGTCTAATCTCTTCAATGTTAGAACAGTAGCCAATTCTGCTGCATCATCGTTTCTCTATTCCGACATTAAATATCAAGCTTCGATGTTAGACACGTGGGTGTCTGTGTTTAGAAAGTGGAAGAACATTCCAGAAATTTCTATTATAGAAGGTAGACTTCTTCAGAAATTTTAGAAAGAGAAATAAAATTCTTCGTTAAAAATTAGGACGATAAGCCCTAATCAATGCCTTTTAGTGACCATCGAGGCTTCAATGCTAACAATTTCGTTTTAGAAATTAATGTTACGTAACGTATATTTACTGGTTGAGTGGGCACCTTTTATGTCACAAGCAGATAATCATCAGGGCTCGTGTTCACAGTTTCCGGGATCAAAACAAACGAATAGGTCAGATGTAGAAGAGTCTAATTATTTGAACGTTACAGCAGTATTCAACTTCGCTACATCCTCGTTTCTCTACAGCAAACATCAGACGTCTTGACTTAATGTTAGAGATGTGGGAGCTCATGCTTAGAAAGTGAGAGGATATTTGGAAATTCTAGTTATTCTTCTGGGATCCTTGAAAGTACCAGCTTGGTTGTTCAGAAGTAAGGATAATAATGTGGCACTCTGAGGCCGACACTCTCGTGTAGAAGTTATAATTAGATGAGGTGTGCCCTAAGAAAAGCACAAGGTTTCGATATCACAAGTTGGAAATCCCCACAACTCATACACACCTTTTCCGGTCTCTGAGGAAACGAATAGGTTAGACGTAGAAGTAGCCAATCACGTGGATGTTCAAATTGGATACTATCTAATTGTATCCTCCTTTAGGTTTATCTATGGTAACGTTAGATTTTTTACTTTGATATCAAAGGCGAGGGAATTTGGATTAGATTGTGCGAAGACAGTTGGAAACTGTGATTATAAGATCGATACAAAAAGAATTTGTCCTTTCGTATAACATACTATAGGTATTCTTTTTAGCTAAAATTAGGGATAGATAAAGTTAATTTTTAGGGAAAAAGACGGATAACTATAATATTATAAACAGAAAATCTTTATAACTAATGCATATTATTTGTGAATTCTGAGGAGGCAAATACGACAGTTGTGGTTGTGTCTAATCATTTGGTTATATGTATGCTTTTCTGTAACAGACATGGACAGAACTCTCAATTTATCATTTTCGTGAAAAATATTACAAGAATTTCTCGGCCCACTTTTACAGAAGAATCATCTACGATGATTAACATGATCTTCGATCAAGTTCTGACACCTGAAAGATTAACACTCCGTATAATTTAACAGTTTATGTTCGAGCTACAGTGTAATGGATGACTGTCCCACAAAAGTTAATAAACTGACTACCAGTTAATGGACTGCGAATGGTGTACGATCAATTACCCGGGGAAAGTACTGATTTTTGTTCAGAATCAGCTATTAACGAGGCGATTGAATGGGATATACAGAGTGTGACCGATTAATCTGCGATCTAATGATTTTCACTAACGAAAGTGTTACCGATGGATTGGCGAAGTTTCCCCGATAAAAATTAGTTCGCGCACGATCTTATTCGGAGTATTTTTAATGTCTAACGCAATGAACGCAAATTGAAATAATAGCAATTCAGGTATATCGTATCTCTTTGAAAGTAAGAGTTATTGGAAATTCAGAATTTTTGAGTGTGAGATAGAATCGCAGGAAAGGGTAAGATTTTAATGATGTTTAATGATGTAACTCAGTGTTTATATAATACATGGGTTGAATAATACATTAAATGGTTATATTATACTCGATTCATTTAATGCAGAATTGGGATCATGTAAGATTCAGATAATGTAATGGTAGGAATATGTTTGTTACAGTAACATAATTCCATTTGATATATTTGCATGTACTATGATAAAATGTATTATATGAACAAGGGAAGCATATTTTTGGATTTACGACAACACTATAAGAAATCACAGATAATATAAACATAAACCTATAAAAAAGTAGGACACTAGGATATTCCTACCATAAACCAATTAAAAGAATCGGTTTATTGAACCTCGAGCACATAGTGTTTCGTCCTATGGAGGCGTATCGTTCGCTTGACTAATCTAAATGTAATTTTATTTTACACTTTACAAGTTCGCAGCCATTAGCTCGCTATTACTCGCGATTCTTTCTTACGATTAATGTCTCGAATGAATACTTCTTCTGAACCGTAATTGTTATTAATGTCTAATCGAACACCGAATGATGCTGTATGTATCATAACTGTTTAATTATGTCGGAGATATTACGTTTTACATGTTATAAAATTAATAACTTCTACAAATGTTATTCTCTGACTCTTGGAAGCCTGGTTTTTCAAATTAAATTTTAAAAGATATCAATGTATTTATTATTTGAACAATGTTGACAGCTGACGTTTATTTCTTTAACTTTTGTTGAAGGGAACATTACGGAATGGTAACATACATACAGCCAAATATTAAAAACAAACCAAATGCAAGTGTACAATACGATTTAAAAGTCCGGTATCAAATTTGAAACTTATGGCATTTAAGGGTTAAATTATCTAATCTTTAACAGTCTTGAGACAAAATTTTAATTTCGTAGAAATGTTCACGAGATTTAATCTGGCAGCCAACGTGTTAAAAAGAAAGAATTGGAACACCAGGACTTTCCTACCATAAACTCGTTAGGAATATTAGTGTATGCGTTTCAGCCGCAACGAGAAACGGTCGACCCTCGATGAAGCGTGCGGTCGAGTCATGAATCGTGGCGTGTTCCGTTGTCAGGCGCGGTTAAAGACGAACCCCGTTCAACAGTTTTCGCAAAAAGGGATTCGCGTGGATGTAGCTACGTTCGCCTGCGTGCTCCACGTGGCTCGTTAACCTCGCTCACGCGACGTTTCCTCCGCGGTTCCCAGAAAATTGATTCTAATGCCCGATGGAGGATCGAAGAGCGGTCGGCTCGTGGCACGTGAAACTCGGATCGCGGTGAAAATCCCAATGAATCGCATCAGGCTAGAAATCGGCGGATAGGTAGTTGAAGGAGAGGAAAAAGAATATAATTATCTCGCGTGACGCGCGATACAATCGGGGCTGGGCGGAGGTTCGCTCTCGCGCAATCGAATCGATTTTCTAACACTCGTCCCACCGTTTTTCCCCCTCGACGGTGGAATCTTGATCGTTCACCCTTTCGTTAGCGCGCGATTTATCTGGGGAAGCCGGTCTCCGTGTTTGCTCTGTTTATTCTGGTGATACGCCGTATCAAGCGATCGGGTGTTTAACGATTTGCTCAGGCTAATCAGGAAGAAGCATATCGGCGAAGTGAAGGACTACGGATCTCTGCGTTTTGGGAGGAGGACAATGTTTGATGCGCAAATAACGGGCAGAAGTCGCGGGACTGCGAGAGAAAATAAAAGACGCAAATATTGTGCCAAGCAGTGATTTCTAATACGTGATTTGAATACGGACCGTTTTATTTAATTAATGGTGGAGGGAAATTGTGTATACAGGATGGGGCAATAAATTGTTCCTCCTCAAATAACTTTTAATCGTATTAAAATATAGCCTATGTTATTACGAGATAGTGGCGTTTTCTACTACTGACAAAATGTTTAGAAGCTTTTCTAGAGGTGTTTTTACCAACAAATTTTACCTCTTTATAATATCAGTACAGAAGTATAGACAATTGGCCGTATATTACAGATGACATAAAATTACATGACATAAAGTAAAATATAATAATACGTGAGAATGGCTACAACCGTAATAAAGTAATAAAATAATAAAAGTAGTTACAGTTTATTTCTCAAAGAACTCAATAGCTGCTATTCTTCTTGTTGTTTCTTTGATTGTTTATGATGGTCCATTGACAAAATAAAAAATGTTGTGAACAAGAAGACTTTATTAGAAAAACAAATTCGCAATTAGTTAAAATGAAACATTTTAACAAGATTCATAATTAGGAGTAATCAAAATTTCTAATGGACAACGTTTATTTCTCCTGTATTTCAGCTGAACGATGGGTACAGCTAGGTGGTGCCAATGGTTGCTCATAGGAATAGTCCTCATCGTCTCTTCAAGTCGTACCACGAGTCAAACAGAAGTCTCAGGAACGAGTCCCGGCAAGCCAGAGACAAACTTTAGCCCTAGTATCGTGGAAGCTCAAAACGATAACGAGAACAAGACCGATCTGGCACTTAACTCTGCTCGTAGACGACGATACGTTCGCTTCCCGACTGGTCCAGCTGGCTATCTCTTCGAGGGTGGCGGTCCACCTATAGGAAGGAACATTGGTGTTCCTCCTAACGTACGATTCCCGTCATGGAGGCAACACAAATCCGTGTGGAGGAGTCCTGTCTCTGAATATAACAGGCCAGTGATGGCTCATCGGACACCGCGACTCATCTTCCGCGACAACGACTTTCCATCCCCTGTCGGTGGCAGCGCACCCTCCTTCTTCCAACAGTCCAACCACTTACCAGATTTCGAGGACGACGCAAGAGGTAATATGTAGATCTAGTTTGCAATAATTCGTGTATACCAAGCATGGAAGGCCAGTGGTGACCAGTCCTGGGATAATTTCTGGAGACTGGGTGAGGGAAATATGAGGGTTGAAGAAGTATTTATTCTTTAGCTTTGAAAGGGCACGGTGCAATAAAGTTAAATTATTCCGAAAATTCATAGAGTGTTCATTTGAGAACTTTCCACTCGAATTCGAAAAGTATGGAAGATATTAAAAAAGTGTAGAGAAGTAAAAGAGAGGGATAGTAGCACCTCGAAATCCTTGAATACGTGTTTTACGCCTGTGTTTTTTCTGAAGTATAGCATCTCTCTTCATAATAATACATAGATGAATCTATACAAGAATCTTTTAAGACTGAAATTTTTGCAGAAAGAGTTTCTCTCAAATCAAATTGTTGTAAATATTTCTTGAAATAAATTCTTACTTTCGTATATCATTTTGAGTGTCATTTCTTTCGCTAAATTTGATTTAAAAAAATAACGAAGTAATTACTTGTTCGAAATAGCTATTATTTCAAACGCATCGATATTATTTTTATTTCCAAATAACTGTCCGAAATAAATTATTGTACATAGCCATTTTCTATTTTTATCTCATTTAAAATACCCAGGTCTCTTTAAAGTAATACTTTGATTAGTACAATTTTCAAAGTTGCCAGGTCTACCTGCAAAGAGTATGAATAGTATCGATACCGTATCAGTCCGATCACTAACCAAGATAACGATTCCCCAGACCACTAATAACCGATTTATTGTTTCAGATCATCGAAAGCAAACACTCGACGATTACCCTAGGTTAGAGTCAGGTACGTTCCCCGAAAGTAATGGTTTACGACGTCCCAGAAAACGGCGCACCGATGATTCGTGGCCCCAGTTGCACCTGTCGAAAGCCCGTTTCGCAGAGTGACTCCGGTCTTTCGCTAATTCAATGACTGAAACCGATAGCCGGTTACATCGCGCCTCTGGATTTCGTACTCGTCGGATAATCGTAAATTAGCCAGCCACCGAGCGCAATATCCTCAGCTAAGTGTCGCAACGATTGCGACACGCGGTCTCTTTTCCGTCGAGCTGACGATTTCCGTCATCCGCGCTGGTCACATCGTTACGACAGACGGGTTTAAGCGTCCTTTCCTGTTGCTTTTACGATTTCGTCGAGTCTTATCGCGATTGTATTAGCAACGCGTATATCTTTTATGAAAACCAGTTGCCCAACCGGGTTCGTTGGTCCCTTTTTGCTAAGTATTCCGAAGCTAGGCTTAGGCTTGGAGTAATCAGACGACGGTCCATCGACGCGTGTCTCGATGATCGACAGATTCGAGTGGGTGGTCGATAATTGAGATCTTTGAGCCATTTTAGGGGTTTAGATATACGTTTAAGCAGCGATCGAGTTTGGATCGGGCGTTTAATCGCTACAACGAGGCTAGACTGTCATTGCTTCGTTCGGTATGAAATAAGGGATGATAGACAAAAAGAAGAACGAACAGTTTTGCCCCGTTTTGTGCAGAGCCGCGTCAACAAAACAGACCGCTGTGGAAGGGTGACGATACGTTGTGCGCTGACGGACGAAGCTGCGAATTTTTTCTAATGTGCTGGATGTCCGCTGGCCTATTGGACGGCAGTTGCGGCGGCATTATGTACGCTTGTTGTCAGCGGAGAGAACCGAAAGGTAGCTCTGATTATAACCTGATTGAGGCACCTAGAGATCAGTCTCAGCCGCTTCCGTTGGATACTTACACGGAGACCGCCAATGATGATCGTAAGTCCTTCCTACAGAAGCATGCCATCCGATTCTTGCACTAGCATGATCGACCCACACTGTCTTGCGCTCTTTGGGAACGGTTCCAGAATGTTCTCTTTATTAGACGTCGGATGTTTCCCCTGTCTTGTCTGCACCACGTGACCACTTTTATCCTGCACCCTTTCAGTTTCTCTGTCCTTTATATATTCTCCGTGTTTCCAGTCTTTAATGACATTTCATATTTCAATTCTTCATGTCTTCATTACTTCATCACCTTTTCATATCTTCGATCTTCTTTCCTTTTTTCATGTCTTCTTCTCATAGTTCTTTACATTTATTCAGATTTTTATATCTTTTTGTATTGTTCCTTCGTATTTTCATCTGTACTTCAACTGTCTCATGTTTTCATTTCTTCATAACTTTATATCTAATTTCACTACATTTTTACCTTACCATCTCCAATTTACATCCCTTTACTTCATATTTTCTTCATCTTTCTCTTTCCATTTCTCATTATTTTATCCCTTCATTTCTTCATTTTATCATATTTTCATCTTTTCTTACCGTTACATCTGCTACTCATCACATTTCCATATCTTCATACGTTCATGTGGTTATATCTTTACGACTCCATATCTTTATAGTTTCGAAGCTATATATCTTCACATCTTCATATCGCCATACTTTCTTACCATTGTACCTTCAAACCTCCATATCTTCATGCATTTGTATCTTTACATCTACATAGCTTCATATCTTCGAATCTTCATAGCTTTAAAGCTTCAAATCTTCCTCTCTGCATATCTCCACTTCTTCACATCTTCTCCTCTGCATCTCCTCAACTCTGTTTCACTTCATCTGTGTATCTCTCCATTTCTTCATCCCCTTATCTCTAGTCTCTTCATACCTTGTCCTTGTCAACATCACCCCCTCAACCATTCATCCTTTCGCCTCTTTAACTACTTTTCTAGCCTTCCTGTGATCTATCTACAGCTCACATCCCTGACTTTCTCACTTATATTTCTCTCCTTCATTTTTCATATCTCGTACCTATATCCCGCCTTGTCGCAACGTCTCTTCACTTTCAAAATTAGTCTCCTTCTCACTTGCACTTTCGTTAGCATGTGTCGAACGTCACTTTCTCTATTCACACCTTCAAAGCATGAAATTACGTGCACCAGACGACTTTTCACGTTTTCGTTCCCTCTCCTCGATCCTCAGTCCGCGCGGCTCGGCTTGCATGCGAAGCGATTCTTCCCCTTCTCCCCTTCTTCCTCTTCCTTCCAATTAGTTTTCCGAAGAGGACTCTTTTTCCCTTACATTTTCTTTTGTTTGTCGAACGATCTTGCATGCTCATCGTGATAACAACGAATCCGTTCTGCACGTCTTCGTCGGTTCCCTTGTCACGCGAGTAGCTTCCTTTCATTCCGTACCAACTTCCGGTTCCCCTTGTTCTGGAGGAAACAGTCCTTTGCATCCCTGAGGTCTCGAAGTTCGCGCGACGGTTTGGTAAGCAAGCAGAATGAAATAGGATTTGCTAGATTAATCCTTACGTGACATTGCCGTTTTTATATCTTCATATGTATTGGACGCTTTTCATGACGGAACAAAGAAAATATTTTTAGTAGCTTGCTAATCATAGGAAGAATAAAAAAGCGTACTTTTAATACAAAAATGCATTATTTTTACTGTTGTATTTATTACATTTATTATCTTATTTTTGTTCGCGAAAATTAATATTTATATCAATACCTTATGCCTGTGTTTATCTACCTATTAACTATGTTGATGGTTGTCTATTTACAATGCACAGTTTGAAGAAATAAATAAGGCATTACCTTACCTTGGCATATACCTTGTAACAGTATGCACGAGATGTCAGCCTGTATTAATATATACTAATATAGAAAATTCTCTTCTCAGACTCCTTCTAAATAAATCGCTAGATAAAGTATTAATTAGTGTTAGCGCAATATTTTTCACGTGGACGCCAGATAAAGCGATGACCTAGTGGCAAGTTAGATGTGAATCATTGACGTTCGGTAAGGGTTAATATAACGACACTTTTCTCTCGGGTCGAATTGGAACGCGTCCAACTTTCATTCGAAATGTTTTAAGTGAACACTTCTGATCGAGCCACAGGTAATTAGCAATCGTGTGATTCTTTCTATCATTTGACGAACGCTTTACTGAATTACTCCAAGTCTAATTCGGTAATACTTAGTCTGTAGGACTCGCGTCGAACGATACAGAGTCCATTGTTCGATAACTTCGCGATTAATTCTTCGGGGTAAGGGGATTCAAACCTCTCCCATCTTTTGTTTAACTTTCATATTTTCTTTAAAGTTTCCTATTCAGTTGACGATACCATGAATTAACGCTATACAAGTCAAAGGCTTGAGTTTTATTATTCTTTTTAAATCGTGTTCCTCGAAGAGTTAATCAGACGATTTTCATTGGATACCTTTGAACGTATCAGCGTGAACCAGTTAACAATCGTTACGATACGACGCTTGAACGATTTGATTTTCCGTTACTAACACAACGAGAAGTACTCGCGAATGAAAATGCTGCATGGAGTCCTAGATCTAACGGGGAGTCTACATCCTTGTAATTGCAGGCTGCGGTATCCCCGCCTCGAAGCAAACCGCTCAGAGAAGAATCGTCGGCGGCGACGAAGCTGGCTTCGGCAGTTTCCCATGGCAGGTCAGACCCGCATTGAACGAATCGAAGTTGTCCGTTTGCGTGTCGCGTTTTAAACAGAGAAAATGTTCTGCTTTCTCAGGCATACATACGAATCGGGTCCAGTCGATGCGGTGGCACACTCGTCAATCGTTTCCACGTCGTCACTGCCGGCCACTGTGTAGCCAAGTGAGTACAGAACAACTTGTAATGAAATGTGCTACTCCAACGTGAAATAGAAACGTTTCTTTAAATACTCTCTATTTCTAGTGATCGATTTGTTTGAACCCTTTTGGTCCTCCGAATGCATACTGTGGGTCAAGAAATAAATCACGAAAAATGATACTATTAATTAGGCTATAGACATATACATGCCTTTGTCAATCTTTTTAATCTTCTGAGCGCTTGAGGCACAATTATCAATGTTTTCCGTACTTTTTGTTATATCTATTATGTTCAAATATTTAGATACTTTAATTTCCAAGTTAATCCTTATCCTCAAAATTTTGTTTGATTTTATTCAAATGAAAATGTTTCAAAAGCATACGAAAAATGAAAACATTGTGTCATTGAAGAGTGTTCAGCACTCAGTTAACGGTCATCATTTGCTTTTCGACTTTGTCGCATTTTTATTTTAATCACGAGTGGAGTGATAATATATATACTCAATTTGCATACCAGAGCATCGGCCCGCCAAGTTCAAGTCACTCTCGGCGACTACGTGGTCAATTCAGCCAGTGAAACCTTGCCAGCTTACACTTTCGGTGTCAGAGAGATCCGTGTTCATCCTTACTTCAAGTTCACCCCTCAAGCCGACAGGTAACCTTCAGCGGATACACCTGGCAAACGAGTATTCGTTTCGTCGAATGAAAATGTTTATTATTTAGGTTCGACGTGGCTGTTCTTCGACTGGATCGACCTGTTCATTACATGCCTCACATAGCACCGATCTGCCTGCCTGAGAAGAACGACGACTTTCTGGGTCAATACGGTTGGGCCGCGGGATGGGGCGCGCTGCAAGCTGGTAAATACCAAAATGATTCTTTTGCGAGGTTTTGAGTAATCGTGGGGATATTTTTTTTGTATCGGTTTCATGATTTCTTTTTATAATCTAAATACTTGAGGTAAGCTTTCGAAATTTGGTACGTTTGTTTGTACATATTTATAAAAGACTGTAAAATTTCCAACTGTTCTGTGTAATTTTTTTAGTAGCTACGTACAATATTCTATGTAAAAAATATGTTAGCGCGATTGAAGTCACCCTGAAAACTAATATTGCTTTATTCATCATGAATGTAGTTGTAGCTTGAATTATAGAAGATTAAAAGAATGGTGGTGGCACTTCAAACTTAAGTTTTCGATTTTTCCGCTCAATTTGTGACTCTACTGGTCCGATAAAAATAGTAATTATTAAGATATCACAAATTTCCTACGCCATAAATGGTTACAACTTTGATAATTAAAAATTTTAGTTGACACGATGCGGTAGAAATATTCCAAAGACCTTAGACAACAAGAATGTCAATAAAAAGATTTATTTTTTAAAAACGAGTAACACTTCAAACCTTTTCGAATGACCAGGTTCGAGGTTGCGCCCGAAGACGCTTCAAGCGGTGGACGTACCTGTGATAGACAATCGAGTCTGCGAAAGGTGGCATCGGTCGAACGGCATCAATGTCGTAATTTATGACGAGATGATGTGCGCTGGATATCGCAGTGGCGGCAAAGACTCCTGTCAAGTGAGAATCGAGTCTACATTTTCAGTGTGGGGCTATTGAACAAGGACATTGTTTTTTTAATAACTTATAATAGTACTTCTATTAGGTCGTCCTGAAAGTTCATGCCATTTACAGTCAGTGTAATAACTATTCGTACAGGAACCATTTATTTTAAATTGATTGATGTACTACGAATACTTGTTACATTGACTGTATACTTCTGCTACTCAAATTAATATGTGAAAAATATCCTTAAGTGTTATGAAAAACGTAATTTTATAATATTTGCCCACCTTTCTGGCATAGTCATTATATCATCACTATCAAATTTCTGTAGTTTTTTTTTTTTAATAAATTTTGACACAGTCTGCGGTATGAACTTATGGGACGACCTGATGTATCCCGACTGTAATTGAAACGAATGCAGGAAATAAGGAATACTTTCAGAGTTAAACATAACATCATAATCCGTGTTGTTTTCTAACAGTAACTAAAGTAAAGACTCCACATCCATTAACACGTTGGCTGCCAGACTAAAACTCGTGAAAATTTCTCCAAGTTCAAATATCGTCCCGAGACTATCGAAGAGTAGATAATTTAACATTTATCGCGGTATATAAATTTGTAACCTATTATTTTCATCGTTGTCGCACTTTTAGTATTACTTTCTTTAACTCGATTACTAAAAAGTACCGTCACTCATTTCTGGGGGACACGGCGACCAACGCGTTAAAGTTATCTTTCGTGGGCTTTTTCAGGGTGACAGCGGTGGACCACTGATGCTGGAGAAGACAGGACGCTGGTACCTGATAGGGATAGTGTCAGCGGGATACTCCTGCGCTCAGCCAGGCCAGCCAGGGATCTATCATCGCGTGGCGAAGACCGTCGACTGGATAACGTACGTCATCAACTCGTAGCGGCGTAGATCCAGGAAACGGAGACCGTTCTCTGCACGCTAAGAAGCTTTGCATGAAACAAAGTTCGCGACACGGTACTGGATATGGGTCTCCATGTTCGCAAGTGGCCGAAAAAGGATCGGAGGAGTGCTCTGGAGCGAGACTGGCCGGCGGATAAGATTAAACGCGTGCGCTGTGTAACCAACGATTTGGCCATTTTGTATTCGAAGCATGTAAATACCGCAACAACGCGACGTCCACGGAAACGGTTTCGTATGTCGGGAAGAGACTTTTTTCTTCGTCGAAACTGTTAGCGTTACGTGTCATTTTTAATATATATATACATATTTTTTTTTTTGAATGAAACGAGACGAAGCGTTGCGTGACCGCTGGTGTCTTAAGCAACATATTATTTGTCGCCTCGGTTGTCGACGAACCGGTGAGGACTGTATCGACGTGAATATTTTCTAAATTAAGTGCGTGTGATATTTGTTTATATTCGCGCTTAATAAATGTTCGATTTTTATTTCAAGACTGGTCTCATTTCTCATTTCATGAGAGAAAGTGTTGATGATTATAATTTATATGGAGAGTGTAATTGTCATTGGGGCAAACTTGAGTACGAAAATTTGGTAATTTTAAGTTACCCGAGACATTGTACTCTGATTAATAACAATAACCTAGAAGAACGAGTACAATGGTCCTCGATGGGTTGAGTGCTCAGGCTACTCTTCTACATTTAGCGAACTACATAGAAGCATTAAGAGTTACTACAGCAAAATCTCCTTAAATGCAGAAACTTCTATACGATAAATGCACAAAAACCATCCCCACCACTGAGGTGTGTAGCTTTTGAGGGGTCGAGGAGTTCGATCGACGAGCAGTGTCACACTGATTCGCTTCGTCCCACACTGTGATATTTCAGCGATCTAGCGGGCCAAGGGTTAAATAAAATATGGATAGAATGCCTCTTTAACAATGGAAGAGGAAACTGGACGAAAGGGCGAAAGAACAAAAGACGTTTTACATTAAAAACATACTTTGTTATTCGACAACCGCTATATCTCAACGTAAACATAGCGTCGCAAATAGCAGAACAACGCACTTAACTATTTATTTCCATTGCGTATATAAGTACACACTTATCTCGTTATTCGTGTTAACAATAAGTACCTGCGACAACGAGCGTCGAGCTTCTGCGCGTCGAGCCGCGGCACGTCCAGTACCGCGGCTCGATTAAGTATGATACGTTGGGATAAACTAGAGCATGGTTACCAGTTCCCATCATCACACCAAAACGAACCTAGGATCCCGTTTTCGCGACGAGCCTGCATTATTTCTTTTCACAACAAATTCAGCAAGTATCGTTAACAACATCCCTCGTGTTCGTCAACAATTCGACGGTCTCGCGCCGAACGTACGGGATAACAAGTCTCGGCTTCGATCTCGAAAACAGGATAACCATCGGTTTCCTACAATTCCCTAATTACAAAATTCATTCGGATCCGCGTCCACCTATAACAATTCAATCACGTAGGACGCGCATCGTTTCGTATTAAGTATCGCTTCCAAACCGCAGTGAAAAAAGACGGGGATCAAAGCGCGAAAATTGTTCCTGGAAAAAGGAACGTCTACCTACGTTACTTGGATCGGCCTGCGCGAAGGGTTATCGTCTTCCAAAAGAGGAACCCCCCCGTCCTAGCGGCAGGGCAAGCTAAAATTTATCATCTAAAATAAATAAACTAACGATAATACTTTCTCGAAGGCGTGCCACCCTCGAAATACTAATAAAAGGAGGACGAAGAAAGATCGGGTCAAAAGGGACCCCTTTAGTCGAAGTACAGCGATGCTCGAGGAACGTCTTCAGCCAATCGAGCTGTCGTGAACGCCGCGGCATTCTAAATGCACGTGCGAACGATGTTGGGGATCGTACCAGGAAGCTGTCACATCGTTCCGTCGTTGAACACTTACGATTTATGCCTGCTGTCCGATCGCGGTGAAGATGAACAGGTCTATTAAGCGCGTTCAGGCTAAACCTAGTCTGTGAGACGCTGGTGGCTCGTTTCGTCTAGCAGCTGAACAGATTTGGCTCGTGATTGTCGCGTGACAACAAATGCAGTGACAGAATAGCAGAGATCCTACGTGGTATCCGAGTCCACGGTGTCGAACAGGCGTGTCGAATAGGAAACAGTGATAGATCGTTCCGGTGGCCACTGTCCGTCAGTCAAGGTGCTACGATAAAGTCGGCTCGTTTACCTTCGAAATGTACAAGTGATAGGTTCTACGACGGTAGAATGTCGAGTTCGAGGACGCTCTGCGCGTTGGGGGACAGTCCGTCTTCGCTTTTGTGCACTAGGATATTCTTGAAGTCTCTAAGCTTCTGAGGCTGAAGAGCTATGGCCGTGTTTCTGGGCAGGGTCGCTATAGGGTTCGTACTGTGGCTCTTGTACGGTCTCTCGTAACGATTTATACCATTCTCCGATTCCGAATTATGCCTCCTCTTAGACGTCAGCTCTATCTTTGGCTGCTTGATCACAGGATCCCTGTCCTCGAAGCAGGGGACGGTCTGCATCGATACCGTGTTCCGACGGTCGTTGAAGAGCGACCTGGGGTTCAAGGTCACCTCGGTGGCCGAACCGAAATGCTTGAAGTTCGCGCAGACCGGACTGTTCATGAAGCTGGTATCCACGGGACGGCAGGGTTCGGTGACTCGTTTCTCTATTTTGATCTCGGTGACGTTTTGACGAATCAGTATGTCTGGCGCGGCTTCGGGTAGGGGTTCTTGGGAGAGCGGTGGCCATTTCGAGTCGCGCGCCATGTCGCGATCGATGGCGAGGAACTTTCTTCTGGACTTATCGACGTTGTGCCAACGGTAGCGCAATTTGCCGAAGATGAGGTAGTCGATGAAAAAGTACTCCACCAGGAACGATATGACGAAGTTTGCGACACCGTAACCGACCAAAATGAAACGAAAGCTGACGCTCTCGGGAAGCACTAGCTCGAACCATTCGGACAACCATTCGAAGGGAAACGTTGCGAGGTAGATAGAGAATAGGCTCATGAAGATGAACGAGGTGAGGAGACCGTAATTCGTGAACAGAGACTTCCTGTACGGATGGCCCTTCGAGAACGCCACTGCCAGGATGATATACTGCATGGAGCTAATAATGAAGACCGTGTAATTCTCCGTGCATCCCACGTCGTCCTTGTCTTCGATGGCTGTGGCGTTGAACGCTTCGAACCAATCCATTTGACGAAGGTGCCAGAGACTGGCGTATTGAAAGATGGCCACAATTAAGATCTGAGTCACCAGACTGAGGATCGGTGTCGTGCTGATCAAACTGTTCAGAGGGGCGGTCTTGGCCAGCGGACCGTCGTAGGCCCGAGTGCGACCGAAGAAGAAGGCGAAGATTGAGATGATGAAGAGATCTATGTAGAGGAATTCTATGTCGGTTAAGTTTGACTCGATTCCGTACAGGAGCATCACGGAGATGAACTGGGTGAGCGAGTAGCTGGCCATATACTTGAAGATACCGAAGGATGTAACCAAAGCAGCGCGACCTTCTCGAATCACCGTCAACACGCAAGAAATGTTGGTTTCGCGGCTGGTAAACGGGGAAGCCACCGATGATTCGGTGTCGGAGAGAGAAATTCCTGTGTGGGCCGCCTTCAGGGCTCCGCAATCGTTCGCGCCATCGCCTACCATAGCTGAAAAAATACGTATGGTGAACAGTGGTCTGGTTAGAGAACGGGAATAGAATTAAATCAATTATTTTTAATGGTCGGAAGTGTGTACCTTTAACAATATACAGTCTAGATTTTATTTAAAAATTCACATATTTTATTTTGCATAAATTGAATCTTTTCGTCATTGTACGTAAAAAAGTATAAAGTGGTAAAAGAATGATTACTTCACAAGATATTTAAAATAATTATCCTCGTTTCAAGTTGTTATTTTTTTACGTTTCAAGCATTACTTATTTATCCAAATAGGAAAATAGAAATCACCCTTGAAGCTAACGAGACACTTACCAACATAGTACCCTAAAGACTGCAATTCTTGAACAAGCTGTTGTTTCTGGTCAGGGGACATCCTTGCGAAGATTGCACCGCGAGTGACCAGTTTTGGGATCAATTCGGGGTAGTACTGCTTGATCAACGACCACGTTTTACCAGTGAGCGCAAAGACATATTTGTTCTTCGCGAGCTGTAAACTGAAAACGTAGAATACAGATATTAAAAAATCACTGTAAAAAGATATAGGTTGTACAAGCAATAATTTCGTCCACCTTGAATATCTCTGCTATTTATAGTTCTATGAAAAAACTTGCCTGGACAAAGTTGCATTGTTATAAAGGACTCCTGTAATAGTAGAATAAAATTTGGCCATTTCGAGGTCATTATTGTTCTTTTATATCGATAACTATATTTTTTAAATCTTTATTCAAGACGAGTCAGCTAAACTCTTACCTATTATAGTTTATCGATTATTCAACAAATTTTATTAAAATGTAACTAAGGTTCTTATAAAGTCCTGACGCCTCTAATGGCGAAATTGGCCCTTCAGCTTCTAAAGTTTGCCGATCACCACTCTATTCTGACTACAAATAACGAAGATATCCAAGATGGTTAAAGTCGTTGCCCCATACTTACTCATCGGATAAATAATTGACATCGTTTTTGAACTGATTGTTCCCAAATGATCCACTCTCCACCGTTTCCAAGCTAGCCACGCTGTTCAAGTCTGTCATCTCGCTGAAGTCGCCATGTTCCATTGGCGAGATGGGCGACGGTTGACTGTTGCTCTTCGTGAAGTAAATCTGTGGTTTCATTTGGTTTTGCTGAGTCGCCGACACCGCAATGACAGGTGTCCCTGGCTTAACGATATCGCAGTCTCTGGCGACTGACAGGGCGGTCAACATGTTGTCCCCGGTGACCATGACGGTTTTGATGCAGGCAGTGTTCAAAGCACTGATAACAGGCGTGGTCTCCGGTTTCAGCCTGTTCTCCATGATTACGAATGCCAAGAATGTCAGATCGGACTCAGCGGACTCTCGACCAAGTCGTTGGACTTTGGCGTAAGGAAGACGATTTAGGGATTTGTGTGCGAGGGCGATTACGCGATAGCCTTCCGAGGTATAATTCTGTAGAACGACGCCAAAGTCTGGTGGAACTGCAACAGGAACGCGATCAATTGTAATTCCATGCTGAATATTTGTACGTATTATGAAAGCGGATATTAAGACGAATTCATTCATGGTGCGATACAACTACCTCCAAGGTCTTGCAAAGTCAGAGATCAAAGAAATAATTAAAATGATTTAATTCTTTATTTAAGATAGCTATTATTTCGAACGAATTGATATTACTTTTATTTTTAAATAACTGTATTGAACATAACGATCCAAAATAAATTATTTCAATTGAAATTTACCTAGGTCAGTAATTAAAATGGAGAAATCGAAACAGAATATTCTTTTCATTAAAGTTGTTAGAAGAAAACAACAATTATTTATGACTCGTCTCAATAAAATTGATTGCGTCACTTACTGGACTCCGTCTTGGAGAGACTCAGGATCATTTCTGGACTGCCCTTGCAGTAGAGATCGTAATGATTAGCGCCCAATGTTCTGGTGATAACACTCATTCTCTGAAGCGTGGACGTGAAAGGAAACTGTCGCACGATACCGATTTCCAAGCCTTGTTCCC